ATCATCATCATCATCATTATCATCTGTCAAACTCGCAAACCATATTTGATTGTATGACTTCATGACCCAATCTTTGCTCATTTGTTAAACAATTTGTTTCCAGTCAGTTATGTAGTAACACTTGTAACATAATTGTGATTGGCCAGCTGTCCTGTTGCTATGGCGCGACGTAAAATAACACCCACTCGCCGTTTTATGCCATGTTTAGGGTACAAATCAAACGCAAACATGCTAAATACATACGCCACAATACATATCTGATAAACTGAGGCGAAACGAAAATGAAAAATATGCCTCGTGAGAAATTACAGGCATTATCGTTGGCTCCAAATTCAGAACATATGTTTGGTAAATGAATGTTTACCGTAATAGTGTTCAATGGTGAGAAACAGTAAATGGGGTCAGTAAGCTAATAGGTACATTACCTTTTGCTCGAACGTTTTGGTGCAAGAATGTATGAAGTGTCAATGTCATATGACTATGGAATGACATCCCCTTTCCGCCCCAATGTGTAGGTTTGTCTGTACTAATAGTCCACACAAGTATAGGCTCAGATGCGTGTGTGCTGCAGCAGAATGTATCAGTAGGCTTATCCGATACACTCACATGAACAAAGGCTTTACTGTGGCAACAACATTCACAAGGAATCGTTTATGTTGGATCATTTTGTTCTGTCAGGTTTGTCTAACAGGCGAGTCTGCTGGCCAACATGTACAAATGGGTTTGTCTGCAGCGCCAACATGTACAAATGGGCTTGTCTGCAGCGCCAACATGCTTACACCCACATGCACAAAGACAGTGTTCTCCTGCAAAATGATGTACTAAAAGGTTTGTCTGATGCGCAAACATGTACTAAAAGATCCTTGTTTGATGCGACAACATGTACTCAGATCCTTGTTTGATGCTCCAACATGTACTCAGATCCTTGTCTGATGCGCCAACATGTAATAAGATCCTTGTCTCATTCGCCAACATGTACTAAAAGATCCTTGTTTGATGCGCCAACATGTACTAAGATCCTTGTCTGATGCGCCAACATGTAATAAGATCCTTGTCTGATGCGCCAACATGTACTAAAAGATCCTTGTTTGATGCGCCAACATGTACTAAGATCCTTGTCTGATGCGCCAACATGTACTAAGATACCTGTCTGATGCGCAAACATGTACTAAAAGATCCTTGTCTGATGCGCCAACATGTACTAAGATCCTTGTCTGATGCGCCAACATGTACTAAGATACCTGTCTGATGCGCCAACATGTACTAAGATCCTTGTTTGATTCGCCAACATGTACTAAGATCCTTGTCTGATGCGCCAACATGTAATAAGATCCTTGTCTCATTCGCCAACATGTACTAAAAGATCCTTGTTTGATTCGCCAACATGTACTAAGATCCTTCTCTGATTCGCCAACATGTACTAAGATCCTTGTTTGATGCGCCAAAATGTACTAAGATACCTGTCTGATTCGCCAACATGTACTAAGATCCTTGTTTGATTCGCCAACATGTACTAAGATCCTTGTTTGATGCGCCAACATGTACTAAGATCCTTGTCTGATGCACCATCATGTAATACGATCCTTGTCTGATTCGCCAACATGTACTAAAACATCCATGTTTGATGCGCCAACATGTACTATGACCCTTGTCTGATGCGCCTGCATGTACTATGACCCTTGTCTGATGCGCCTGCATGTAATACGATCCTTGTTTGATTCGCCAACATGTACTAAGATCCTTGTTTGATGCGCCAACATGTACTAAGATCCTTGTTTGATGCGCCAACATGTACTAAGATCCTTGTCTCATTCGCCAACATGTACTAAAAGATCCTTGTTTGATTCGCCAACATGTACTAAGATCCTTGTTTGATGCGCCAACATGTACTAAGATCCTTGTTTGATGCGCCAACATGTACTAAGATCCTTGTCTGATGCGCCATCATGTAATACGATCCTTGTCTGATTCGCCAACATGTACTAAAACATCCATGTTTGATGCGCCATCATGTAATACGATCCTTGTCTGATTCGCCAACATGTACTAAAACATCCATGTTTGTTGCGCCAACATGTAATAAGATCCTTGTCTGATGCGCCTGCATGTACTAAGAAGCCTCTCTGACGCGCCAACATGTAATAAGATCCTTGTTTGATGCGCCAACATGTAATAAGATCCTTGTCTGATGCGCCAACATGTACCAGGAAGTCGCGATGGCTGAGCGGGTTAGACGGCTGACTTTGTGTGCTGGCGATTAGGTGCCTGACTCTAAGGTCCTGACTCCGCATGGGACTCAACCCAACAAAAGTACTAAAATATGTCCTTTACTAAGAAAGTGTAATCCCAAATATGACACATGTTACCTCTGAGCACTTTCTAAATGGCATTGTGTGATCATGTACCAGAACGCCTAGATATGGCAACAGTGTGTTCTGATAAGCGTGTGTGCAGCACCATGTACTAAGGGAGCCTGTTTGATGTGCTAACATGTATAAGCAGACTTATCTGTTGCTGTAACTTGTACTGGGAGGTTTGTTTGTTGCTCTCTCGTGTACTAAGATGCTTGTCTGATGCAGGGAAATGTGCTGAGAGGCCACTGAATTCCATGCAGTGATGTGTATGTAACGCTGCTTGATAATGTTACTCTGGAATGTCTGGGAAAGATTCGATCATAGCAGACTGACGTAAAGAGAATCGTTTTAATAAAAATAAACACCAAGTAGACCCAGAAATCGATGTTTTTATATATCGAACTACGAAAGTTAGAGTTTGCTTGTGTGTTTCTGTAACGCCATGCTCCACAAAGGGATCCAAACAAAGACGGAATTTAAATGATGAAACACTACTTCCTTATGAGAAAATGTTTCAGAACAATTCGTTATGTGCGTGCCACAACACTACTGGTTTGGATATATTGTGAGGTGTCAACGTTCCCGTGAGCACGTTATACTATCTAGACGTGCCTTGACTTCGTACTTTGATTTTCATAGCTGAATAAGCACGTGGACCTGTCACCTTCAAAAATAAGATGTGTTCACGTTCACTGGCGAGGTCTCACAAGGTTACCTGTTAATTAGGAAGCCCTTCATAATGTTTTGCCATATCAAGGTGAGATCGAACATACATAAATGTATACGTTTTTACTAATGTGTCCGATTTATGTTGTCTTTGTTCTAAACGACAGAAAACAGAAACGTGTGTATAAGAACATAAAATGGAGAAAATAAATGTAACTCTACTAATTCGGAACTGACGCAAAATGATGTGTAACTGATTACACAAAAGCCTTATTATTTCTGTAGATGTTCTTTCCAGAATCACTTCCGGCTTTCCTCTCACCATTCGTAGCCAACTTCGTATGGTTTCGGTACAAGCCACATTGCCTTTTTGAGGGTTACGGAAAGGGGCGAGTATTGACGAATGATGACATTCTTCGACAAGGGGGCGACTCTTCTAACGGGTTACTCAAAGGGGAGTCGGGCTAGATATTCCTAAAAGTTACTAGCCCGCAAAATAATTCACTTGCCCGAAATTTGAATGTAGAAACTAAACAAAAGATTACAAAAATAGATTCGAATAAGATATTGTCGGCATGACACGGGTTTCATCATTAAGCTGCAAATATGATGAACATATTTATCAGGTCATAATCTTGCATATTATAACTTACTAAGTCGGTGAGAGTGGTATAATTACAAATTGACTCCAGGAAAATTCACCATCCACTTGGGTCAGTGACTGGAGATTTACTGACCCGACTGGATTTTTACAAGCCACGGGTTAACAGGCCAGTGGCTACTTCGCACACTGGTGGTGACGAATGTCCTCGCATAATAAGATATTCCGATATTACATGTTTTTTGTCGTTGTTGTTTAACGCCACACTCAGACATATTCCAGCTAAATGGAGGCGGTCTGTACATAGACGTGCCTGGACAAAACAATCTAGAGATTCACAGTAGCGACAAGTATCTTACTGGTCAGGCGCATATATTACAGTAAAACTACCGTTATAACGAACTTAAAGAGATGATCAATTTTTGTAATTCGTTCTACGCATTTCAACTAAAAAGAGAAAAAATACAGAAAGAGGTCGGGACCAAAAGAACCAGTTCGTTATGTACGTGTTCGTCATAAACGTAGTTTACTGCTGTTTCCAAACGGACGTCAGCCCTTACTAAGTCACAAAAGCACCCGATGACGTTTTTTCCAATTACTGAATCACTCAATCACCCCTAAGGCAGGTAAATCTGCATCAGTAAATTACTTCCAGTTGACTTACTGGGTTCATGTAAATTAATTTTTAATATGCGAATTATATATCCAGAAGTGTGTTTTGAATTTTAATGACTAGTGGTTGGGCTTGATGCCAGCTATTTATGGCGTCGAAATCATAGCAAACAGGTGTTTGAGAACAGCGAAATCGAGTACAACGGAAAATTGCCGATATCGTTTTGTATTACAGTAACGGCAAATATACATTTCCGGATATGTTACGGACGTAATGGGTCTTCCTTGCATCCAATTTTCAGTAAAAGTTGCCCAGGGTTTGAATTAACCTTGTGCAACTCATACCTGTGACTAACGGAGTACAGTGGTAAGATGCGCTGACTTTACTTATGCATCTCATTGTATCCCAGTTGTGTAGATGCTCATGATATCAGACACTGGTTTATCCGGTTCCTTGTTCTTAGTGGATTATTTAAAGACCGTTGCCTTATATGGCATACTGCTGCATACGACTTCAATCCATTAATCCATCCATCCCTCCATCCCTCCCTCCATCCATCCATCCATCCATCCATCCATCGACTGACCGAGCAGCCAGACAGTCAATCAAAGTTACCATTACCTAATACAACAAAGTCAGCAACATATGTTCTCGTGTATAAGTAGTCTGTGGTCTGTTTCATTCGGGTCAACACACCTGTCTGCCCTCACAGCCTTTGTTAAAAGGCCTCAACATATATGCTTTCACACCTTTTTTTGTTTTGCAGAAGATGTTGTTTCCGACACGGACGGTGCGTTCAGTGCACGTCGTGTTGACGGTGACGTTCGCAATTTGTACATTCGTGCTGTCAATGAGGGAGATTTCCAGGTAATTATCTTTCACCTATTGGAAGAAGTCGAACCCTTCTAATAAAATCATCGTTGTTACACCTAACGGTACACTTATCAAATGCTTATACAACGTTTTCATGGTTTTTTTAAAAAAAAGCTACTTTGCTTACTTTTTGTATGTTGTTACTAATTTTATTTTTCTCTTATTTATGTATGAGAGAATTAGACTATTCTCAAAATATTTACTTAACTTTTAAACATGCTTCCAGAAAAAAATATATAACGTAAAAAGTCCAGGCAGCTTGAAATGAAAGGCAACAAAACTAGTTTAGATAATCAGGAGGCTATGTTTATGTGTTTCTCATTTTTAACTTTTAACTAGTAAAAGAGCGTTTGGGAGAAAAATAAATGAAATAGACAAAATGATAAAATATATGCTTTGCACTAATCAGTTACTTCGTGACAGCCTTTATGCTATGTAAACTTATGGTGTAAAATTGACTTGGGATACCTGGGAGACAAAATAGAAAAGGATAATAAGGTATTGAACTGATCCTCGATAATCTCCAGGGTATACGTTACGATCACTCTCCACTATACACTGGATGCATCCACGGCTTGGCCCGATAATTATATTACCTCCCTTTGCTGGCTCCGCATTCTCACAGTAGCCAATCCGCTAAGCCGCCGTTACATCCGAGCTTGCCAGTGTCAACAAAGATAGCGGTCGCAGTCGCAAAGGTTTGTTCGCAGCGCCACTCAGACTTTCGGGGAAATCATACTGACAAATTGACAGATCTGAAACTTTAAAACAATATATGAAAGAACTCCTTCTACCTCTTTCAGAGTACCTCTGCATCAACTGTGTTGCTAAGTTTAAACGGTTAGATAATTTAAGAAGCGAAAGTGAGTTTTGATTGGTTCGCTCAACTTCCCAGCGTAGACACCTGATTGGATAAAAAGCCAGCTAAGGGGGGTAATAAAATCATCGCCCTAAGCCGTGGATGCATCCAGGGTATAGTGGAGAGTGATCGTAACGTATACCCTGGAGATTATCGAGGATGATCATGGGTATGCTTCGTACAATAAGTCGATACAATGCACTAGAATCGAGTCCGAATAGGGCAGTGACTGTTAATTCGAACTGCCGGGACATCGTCTTCTCCGTAGTTTGATAAGCAGATGACCGACATGTGTCCATACTCGCGATAAACGTTTGAGACTTGCGTCACCTCCAGTCCTCCCACATTTAAGCTGAGATGACGTTACAGTGAGTGAGTTAGTTGTACGCCGCTTTTAGCAATATTCCAGCAATATCACGGCCGGGGGCACCAGAATTGGCTTCACACATTGTACCCATGTGGGGAAACGATCCCGGGTCTTCGGCGTGCCGAGCGAACGCTTTAACCACTAGGCTACCATTCCGTCCCAGATGCCGTTATAGAATACAGGTATAAATCAACGTTGAACAACCTCACTCGCTTGTACGACAACCTCGGTAAACCGGAAACCTGAAACCTGTAAAAGGGTGTGTAGGGTGAGATAACATAGTGTGGTTTACGTTTTCCTTAACAACGTTCACAACGTCTTCCCGTCATAATAGTGACAGATTGTTGCCAGGAACGGCGTATAAATCAATTTGTTTGTTTAAATGTTTAGAAGGATGTGTGGCTGTTCCTGCTAAATCCTTAAAAGGAATTCATTAAATAAATTTTAATTTCTATGCCGTCCGACCGAATTATTGAACATAAACTTATAAAATAGTTCTGAATATTCCAGATTTGAGAAGCACTCCCGGCGACGTCATTCAAGTTTCGACGACAAGGATGTTTTAAAACATACTCAAAAAAGACGGTTGACTTTCCCTCACATCAACGACAGTATCATCAACGTGAGCACTACCAAGGTGCAAGAACCTCACTACACACAGACGAAAAACCAAAATTTTAAGTCAATAGTGTGGTTTAACACCCCCAATTGGTTCACTCGTTTTTCATCTAATTCCCTATTCTCCGGATGTGACGTCAGCCAGTGCACAATGTCTTACAACCATCATGACATTCCTACTGCTGACGCCGTCCTTGTCAACGGCATAAACATCAGCGACAGCTCACCACCACCTCGACGACAGGAGCAAATGTTTGTGTTCTTCAGCCTGGAACCGCCAGTCTATATGAATATCTCCACCAAATGGCAACATGCATTTAATTGGACAATTACCTACCGACGGGACTCGGATGTGTGGAGGCCGTATGGAGAACTGCGCCGAAATAGGACGAAACTCAGCAAGAAATATTTTGAAAATATTCTAAAAAAGAAGACTAAGGCTGTTGCATGGTTTGTCAGTCGGTGTGTGTCCCAAAGCAAGAGGGAGAGATATGTTCGCGAATTAAAGAAACACATTCAAGTGGATATTTACGGTCGGTGCGGTCCGTACAAGTGTGGCAGCAACTGTTACCAAAAACTGGAGCAGTATCACTTCTTTCTTGCGTTCGAGAATTCCCTGTGCGTTGATTACGTGACAGAAAAATTCTTCAAAACATTTAAATATGATGTGGTTCCCGTTGTACGAGGTGGAGCCAATTACTCAAGTTTGTTTGGTGATGGATTCCTCATCAATACAGCCGATTTTCGCTCTGTTAAAAAGCTCGGAGCATACCTGAGTTATTTACTGACAGACGAAGCTGAATATTTAAAAATTTTGAAAGAGAAGCAAAAATATTATGTTGCTTTTCCTAGGCCGTGGTGTGACTTATGTGAAAAACTTCATTCTGCAGAAAAACACAGCAAAAGGATTGACATTCTTTCCTGGGTAGGTGAACGTAGTTGTCACTCGCCATCTGATTTACATGCTAGTAGATTCTGATATTTTAAAGTAAACCCCCAAAATAACTAATTATTCAGTTCCTCAAAAGTAGAAACGTCGTTAGCAACACCCTTTGAAATCGGAAGAAAACTTCAACTTGCCAATATGGCATGCTTGGTTAATATTCATTGCATTGCAAATGTAACAGTTCAATTGCTTTCAAATTTAGTTTGAAGTATACACTTACAGTTCCTGATTTTTTAGAACCGTATATCACATTGGTACGAGTATCAGGAAGGATAACAATCTATAGATCAACAACTTCTTTATTACGGAGGCATTAACTAATTAGCATTTAAAATATCAGCAGCGTTGGCCGTGATGAGAATTAGGCGTGATGGAAATCGATGAGCATGGGTTCAAATCAAAGATCAGCCTTGGTAATTATTCCAGGCTTGTCAGCTCCTTGGCCTAGATTTTCGAAGCTCTCTTAGTGCTAAGATAGTCGTAAGTGCCACACATTATCATTAACCTACGACTACCTTAGCGCTTAGAGAGCTTCGAAAAGCTAGGCTCTGGTCCATGCTCATACGTGTCGCCTAACGCCTGATAGGTTATTCCCACAAGGTGAAGGTGACGGTATGAAACAACGTTGTGAGCAGCGTACTTAGTACCCTGTACTTCCGATCACTGTGCATACAGATCAAACTCTCAGCCATACCCAGCTCCTGTATGAAGCTCTGGTTGGCAGTTACATTGTCACCTTTTCCTACCGGGTACCCATTTAATATGGGCAAACAAAGGCATATTTGAACCGAATCTTTGGAGTCAAAATGCCACATTTAAGCCGTGGGGCAAGTCAGAAGCCCTGGAAACTCTCAGGAGTCAGGCAACCGAAAATGGCCATGCACCATCAATATTCTTAGCCACTAAAGTAGTTTAACTTCCCCTGAATGCAGTCCAGGGATTCGAACCAGAACTTTCTAATCCGAACTCTGACGCCTCGTCCACAGCAAGCTGACAAGATTAGGATGTCATCTATGAGATGACTCCACGCCCTGCTACACTAATTTAATAATTTACACTAATTAACTTTTATGAACTCAGTGTATTGAAATACTTGTGATCTGTGAAACCTTAACACAGAATTCCCTTGCACAAAATTCTTGATACCTGATGTACATTTGATACTTAATATTGTATACAACTGATACTTGATACTTTTCACATACAACAAGACTGTCTTCTATGGAAAACTCTACACATGCTTCCGCTTCACTGGAAAGTTTCAAATTCGTCATGTGACATTTGTTATTTGAGACCTCATTTCTTGAAATACAAACCTCATATAAACTGGGTCAAATTCCTCTCCTCAACAAACCTCTGTTCAATGCAAAAACCTCCAGGTTCACACAGTTACATTGCTTCCCAGAGCTCATGTTCTCAACATGTTTTGTTGCAAGTGTCTGGAAGTGTTGGGTGGTATTTGCAATCATTTTACAAACTTTCACTTACACTTTTCTTACTCTGCAATCAGCCCGTGAAGATCCAGGTTAGAATTGGTCCTCAGTAACCCATGCTTGTCCGAAGAGGCGACTAACGGGTTCGGGTGATCAGGCTCGCTGACTTGGTTGCCACATGTCATCGTGACCTAATTGCTAGATCGATGCTGATGCTGTTGATCACTGGATTGTCTGGTCCAGACTCGATTGTTTACAGACCGCCGCCAAATAGCTGGAATATTGCTGAGTGCGACGTTAAACACCAACCAACCAACCAACCATTGCTTTGCAATCAGTTACGTTTCATACACATCCATGTATTGACAAATGTTTCACATGCATTATTGTATTTCGTAAAGTGCAAACCTGTGATGCATCCATTGATGCTTCAAACGAGGATTTGCTTGATAAATTATGTTATGTTTTACATAACGAATTTCAGTGATCATTCATTCATGTTTCACACAATGAATTGCTGTGATGCATTAATTTATGTTTCACACAATGAATTGCAGTGGTGCATTCATTTATGGTTCCCTCGATGCAACTCTGTTATGCTTTCATGTTTCACGAAGTAAATGTTATGATGCATCCATTCATCCGAAGCTTTGTAGTTTCGCCTACAGTTACGTTTCTCAAAATATGGTACAATGCAATCGAACGATGTGGCGCATTTAGTTGTGTATCAGTCCAAATGCTGTGGTGCATTCCGTTATGCTTCACACACAGTGACGAGCTGTATTTAGATTTGTTTCACGTACAATGATGTGATGCATGTAGGTTAGGTTTACATACAATTTGTAATGCGTTCATTGATCTTCTCATGCAATTATTGTGCATTCGGTAATGTTTAACACATTTATGCGATGCAGTCTATTATGTTTTAAGCTATACGATGTGATGCATATAGTTATATTTCACCCACAATGGTGTCATGCATTCGGATACTGGTCACACGACGTGGCATTCATTCATGTATATTTCATAAACATTTGTTTCATTCATATTCCTTTCATAAACGTTACTTTGAATTCTCAGGAATATAATCTGCACATGTAGCATTTGCAAAAGCAAACCACATTTTTTTTCATGCAATAACAATTAGTGTAATGTTCAGCGGACATTGTTTCTCAAAAGTGTATTTTAAATCAAAAGTTACACATGGTATTCTACCAATGATCCTGTTACTGGGCATATTACTGCTTCTCTAGCATTCCATTTCTTCCTCAATACGTTGTATATACATGTAAAATAGGGACTGATCATTTGACATTTGCCTGGAGTCTTTGCGGGGAAAAAATAACTTGAAAATAACTATGAAAAAAAATAAATAGAAAAAAAGTCAGATGCAAAAATGCATTATTGTTGTGAATAAATATTTATGCTCTTAATTTAATAACACAATTCTGGTTTTGAAGCTTCAGCTGAAAAAAAAATATCCAAAAATTAACACATACAAATCCACCCCACCACCACCCCAACCCCATCACCTCAATACCCACCCACGCTGTCTATCGAATGGTCGGTCTCACGTGATTCTATGTGTAAATGGTACTTTGTATATTTTGATGTTTTTTTATACAGAAAGCAATATGCTCATAGACAATGACTTATCTGCTCATTTTCTAGCCGACACATAAACTAACAATGAATATTGCAATTCCAGATGTTTAACCAAGTTATCAGACATAGCAACCGTCTGGCTGTGCTGTCTGTCAGTCCATGAAACAAACGTTTTCCTTTCGCTCAGCCCTGACTGTATATGATCTTAAACGATGCAAGTCTAGATTTTCCACAGCAGCTCACTAAAGCTAATTTTCAATTTAAATGTAGTTGTCTAGTTCTGTGAAAATTATATATTTTCAGAAACTTAGAGTGAGTCTACCGTCTGGCATGCCACTTATTTTTGCATTTGTAAAAGGGGGCACGGGTGTAGGTCGTGTAAGACCCAGCAATGTGTTGTACGCCCTTAGTCCTGCCAGAAACCTATGATCAGGGGTTCAGATCCCAGATTTTAATTTCTAGATTTCCCAGCACCACACCTAAGCTAAAGGATTTCACCATTGTGCTAAACATCTAAGGCTGGTCGTATATTTCTGTTTTTTCACATATTTCAGCCGTTCATAATTGTCATTCCAAAGTAAAATTCCGCTGTGGAAACTGATGACTTGAGGTGACCGAAAATATTCTTACCCTTGCATTCTGGTAATAAGTAATAGGTCAGTTTGATCCTTCTTCATCTACTGTTTAAAAAAAAATGATTTCTGCCCTCTCCATTGCTCGCAATGGGCTTTGTTTTAATTGCAGGTCGCCGTAAGCGGGATTTCTGGATTGAGAGGTTTCAGATTAAGATGGTTTAATTCTGGACTGACAGGTTCAAGAGTAACAGGGTTTAACTCTGCACTGACAGGTTCTAAATTAACAGGGTTAACTATGGACTGACAGGTTGTAGATTAACATGGATTAAAACGGTTTCACTCTGGAGAAATATTATTATATTAGGATATTTATATAGCGCACATATCCACGCACTAGTGCATGCTCAAGGCGCTGGTATTTTTCCCTCAATCATTGGATGTCAATCTCAACGGCACATCGCATTATCAATCTCAACTCCCTGGGGAGTATACAACTCTTGCAGCCACTAGATGCAACGAGGTATTGTGGCTTTCTCACCCTAACGAGGTACCCATTCACAGCTGGGTGGACAGGGACACATAGTCACAGTACTTTGTCCAAGTTCACTGCACGTTGCTGTACCCGCAACTAGGTGTTTGCACGTATTCATGTGGCCACCATCTGGTCAAATACCAACGGATTCGTGGGTTCTTTTAATGTGCACAGAGTTGTGTACTGTACACTAGGGGTTGTGACAACACTGAGAGGGTCTGCACACAAAGTTGACTCCGAGGTTTTTACACCCGGTCACAGGTGGTCTCGATCCCGACACCTCAACTTCGCTGGGTCACTAGCCTGGCGCCTTATAGGTTCCAGATTAACAGGGTTTCACTCTGGACTGACAGGTTCTAGGTTAACAGGGGTTTACTCTTGTTTGGCAGGTTCGAGATTAACAGGGGATCCATGATTCTTAAAACACAGAACAATCACAATCACAGGTTCATGTTTTTCTTCTGTCTTAGTAGTTACGTCATAACATCATACAGTTCTATGGTTCGTGAACAAAGATGTCTTATGACAACGTTTAAAGAACCTTTAGCTATCCTTGATGTGTGCAGAAAGTTAATTATAAATACGAAGAGACATATCTCGATGTCTCGTTTTACATTAAGTGACGATTTGGAACGTCTTGAACACTTGAAGGGCGGTTGGAGAGCCCAGTGGTTAAAGCGTTCGCTCGTCTCGCCGAAGGCCCGGGTTCGATTCCTAACATGGGCCTAATGTGTGATGCTCATTTCTGGTGTCCCCTGCCGTGATATTGCTGGAATATTGCTAAAAGCGGCGTAAAACCCAACTCACTCACTTGAACACTGGACAGGTTCAAATTGAAACTTTTGATGGCAATGTCTTAAAACATATCAGCGTGTTATATTTCTGCCGTTTTACCGGATTGGTTTCAAGAATATTTATATTTTATGTACATATGGGAATTTGTATAAATATCACCATGATTTCTCTTGTGTATTCACTTACAAAAATTGGGAATAAAATATATACTACTTCAGCTTTGCGTTATATTTTTTTGGTGGTGGACACTTGCAATAATTTCACTGTGCAAAGTTTCGAGCAAAACGTTACGCAAGAAATCTTTTTTTGGGGGTTCGAATCCCCTTTGTCCTGGTTGTGTATTCTCGGTTTGTCGGCACCAAGCCCGTACTCGTGGATGCCACGAAAGTGGCTGGTTGGATTATTGGTTAACGTCGCACTCAGTAATATCCCAGCTATATGGCGGCGGTCTGTAACTAATCGCGTCTGAACCAGACAATCCAGTGATCAACATCATGAGCATCAATCTACGCAATTGGGATACGTGACATGTGTCAACCAAGTCAGCGAGCCTGACCATTAAATCCCGACCGTCGCCATATAGCTGGAATATTGCTGACTGGGGCGTTGAACAACAATCAACCACCCGAGATGCGACCCTTGGTCACTCCAGAATCCCGATTTGATAATGTTTGTGGGTTTGGTAGCGCCATACCCGTTCTCGTTGATTTCACTACAATGATAATCGTCTTAGACCTGCACTGTTCGGGCTTTTCTC